ATTTCGACAGAACGCTGTTGGCCAGGTTCTACCGTGCTGAGGAATGGATAGCCGCATTTTATCACGGATCGACTGAAAATTAATCAGCGCACGCCCAACAGACCATGATGCATACGTATCATTCGAAAGTTCCGTAACGACGTACCACCCTGTCTCAAGGACGAATCGTGTGCCAACAACGTCTCGAATATTCCTTCGAGGCATCGATACCGATTTTATCGTCTTTGGAACGCAAACGTTCCAATAAGAACACTTTTCTTCTCTCAATAATATTTAAAAAAATTAATATTTCATTTTTAATATATGAATTTAACCTCTTGGGTTGCAAAGGGATGGGGTGGTTTTCTAAATCTGCCCAAAGGCGGACTTAATGACCTTATTAATTAGTATAACGTTATTAAGTGTCCTCTACAGGGTGCGTGGGAGTCATTGCTAACCGATAACCTAAAATATTGTATCACCAAATAATTAATAAAAGAAAAGAGTAGGCAGGCTATGAATAGTGTTAGTATTATACTAATAATATAAGGTTGCAAATTAGAAGCTTGAATTTGACCTAAGATATTTTTCATTCTTTTTTTTTTTTATTTTTGTCTAGTATTATTGAATACTGCAATAATTCTAAGGCTACACAATCTAAACCGTGAAATTTTTTTCTGCCACGTTTCGTTTGAATGAACAAAGTTCATGCTGCGATGACTTTGTGGTTAAATGTTCTAAACCTTGACTTTGGAGGAGAAAGGTTCGATGCCATTGTTTGATATACTTTCTGAGTTTTGTGGGCTGTTTTTTGGTAAATTGAAAGTGAAAGAAAAAGCGAAAGGGAAATAGAAGGACATTTATTAATGGATGTGACCTTAACGAAACGCGAAAGTCTGGTTGAAAGGGACCATATTCTGAAAGATATTTACTTCTGAAATTTTTATTTATCGAAGCAGAAAATTGTCGAAATTTAAGGAATTAAATAGATATAAGGAATGTAGAAATATTCAGTGAGATTAGAAAGGGTCGTAGCCTTAAATGTAGAGAATTAACAAAATTTAAATTTAAAAGGAAAAAATTTTTTCACCAAATTATGTTGAATAATTTTCAAAAAGCGACGTGTTACGCAACTATCATTAGCTAGCAAGCTTTCTACAGTAACGATTATCCGGTTCGCTTTCACGCGATGCATTAATAATTCAAAAAGAAAAGAAACAAAGTCAAGAAAGCAGCTACCATCTTTCGAGTCTATTATTTGAGAAACGTAACCTTCCTGGCATGCATAAATATTAAAGTCAGTAATTAAATCAGAGTCGCTTTCTATAATCACCGCGAAGGCGTGCAGCGAGGTATTTTTTATGCAAGAATTTTCTCCAAGTCGGTTTTGCACCGGTTCTACATACCGTGGTATGCCAAAACAAGACGTCACGTAATTTTATACGTTTCTATGTAATGGAAACTTGATAGAAAACGCGTGTGCATGTAGATGCCTGGAATTCGCGTTACATGTTCGATCGAATACGTACATAACATGAAATATGACAGAATAAACCATCTGCTTCTTCGATCATTTTTCTATTTATTTCACTTCGAGCAATTCGAAAGTTACATAGGAAGAATGTAGAATAGAAATTCGATCAAGATTTAGCGATCGCGGAAAAAAATGGTAACATAAGAACGTGGAAACGTGAGGTACGAATGACAGAAAGGGGAAAAAGTGAATCAAGATCGTTACGGGTTGAAGCAGTGGAAATCTCGGTTATTGGTAGATCCTACGTAACCGTTGAAAGTGATAGTTGAAATGACAACGTTTCTTGTAACATGCAACAGTTTCAACCGAGGAATTGAGATCATAACGTGATTTGTAACGATCGGGACAATCAAAATTCTACGTACAACAGATAATGCTCTAATAATTTATAGTTTGTGCAATCATATTTGTTCGAGACAAATTGATATAATTTTGCAACTCAGATGACTAGAAATTGAATATATTATGGTGAATGCATGAACTGTTCTTTATGAAATCTTTATCATTTGGGATCTCAAACAAAGTCAAACCAGGATTGATCAAAAAATGAATAAAATATTCACAAAACAATATCACATTTGGACAAGATTTAAAGATCTTAGCAGAATCTAAAGAAAAAAAAGTTATCTTCCTCTGCAAAATCCTTAACATTCAGGATCTTAAATGAAGTTAAAACAAGAGTGAAATATTCATAAAGCAATATGAGGCTAGAAAAAGTTGAAAGATTTGTGAAAAAAGTTGAGAAAGTTGAAAGAAGCAAGTTTTAAAGGGTAATCTTTTGGCGAATCCAAATGATTTTTCGTGCTGTGAACGAACGTTAAAAGTGACAGTCGCAATATTTCCTGTAGGTCGTCGCGAGGCGTGGTATGGGTTCTTGTCTTTTGTGCGAGCATTTTGCTCTCGGCTCGGTTCAAGGAGATCCAGAAGCGACGGCGTAGCGAAACAGCAGCGAGTTACAACGCTCTGAATCTGAATCTCTCACGGTAACCACGCCGCCATAATCCTGCCTCGCTTCGTATTCGGGTCAGTAGAAATTACGTAACATGTATGCGCTGGGGCGGTTCCCACCGAGTCGTTCTACCGGAAGTCGGGACCGCGACTTGCCGTAAGGACATACGGTCAGCATGGGAAATCCTATTCACAATAGGAAAAATCGCCGGAGGATGATTCAATGACGATCAAAAGTATTACAAGGAAAACTCGACCGTAGATGACACGAAAATTTTCAAACTATTCATTTAGATATTATTTTTCTAACAAAAAAGGCCTTCTATTAAAAATGTCACAAATGTCCAGGTACAGTATACACTGTACACCTTTATCTTATTCTAGGCATAATAGTTCTTTTTAACTCATTAACTAAGAAAGACAAATTAACTTGTCATGTAAGTAGAAGGCTGGGACATTAATTAATGAAATAGTTCCGGTTTCAATTTCATCATCGCATTTCTATACTTGTCATGAAAGAGACGGATTAGGTCCTGCTTATCTATTTTTTATTATAGGCACAGAAAAGATTCCTTATTGATTGCAATGTTATTCAATAAATAGGATATGTGTTAAATGAAAGAATTATTTTCATTGTAACAGGTATAAAACCTTTTTTTTTAATCTTCTTATATAAAAGAGGCATTTAAACAATTAAGGTTCATTATATCTTTAAGTTACGTAAGTTAAGAACACATATTTCTATTTCTCTTTACTAAAATAATAGTTATTTACGAAGCAATTAATTTTTAATTTATATCTTCTTAGGGTAAGAAGTATCGTACTTTTACATTCCACGTGTTCTGAAATGAGAAAAATCATTCAGAGCATGCAGTCGATTTATCTACTGTTTCATATGGACATCTTTGTCACATTTCTGCTTTCCAGTTATGTATATCAAAGCAGCACGCATTACAAATCACTGTTCAGTTCCTTGTATTTCAGTATTGCACAGTGCAATCGTATAATAAATCAAAACTTTCCATATTTTACGACGAACAGATTTCTCACGATTGGAGACATATGGAATTCTTTCAATTCTGGGACATTTTTCACTGATCGACATCAGTAATACCACCACAATTTCTAATATTATTACAACAATGTAATTTCTAATAAATTACAAAATATTCTATAAATGTTGTATGTCATCAAGTCATAAAATAATTCAACAATATTTAAAGACAATAACTCGACCAACTACTTCTGGTAGAGAATTTCCCTTTCAACATCCTCGTAAACAAGAAAAACACAAATAGCCATAAAAAGAGGAATTTAACATTGACATCGTTCTGCATGCAGAACTCAGGTTTGCGGCATTCTTCAACATTTATCGTAGCTATTTTACATAATAAAGCGATCTTTCCCTGCCATAGTTCCCCGTAATAAAAGAGATCGCGTGGAGTAGCGGTAATTCCGTGTCTCGTAAGATTGCACCAACTTTGCCATAACACTTTCCTTCCTCGCCATGGCTCGCTGATGGCGTACACCTTAACGGTTAGCAGCATTAGGCCTGGTTCGAGCGAGCGATAAGGAATTTTGCCGCACATGCCATTCGCGCGTACTCGAGTTCACCGATCCGCGAAACTCGCTCTCTCCTCGCCATCTTCTGCTTCCTTTTCGCTATAAACCGATGCAGATCCGGTTTCGTGGCTGGAAACTAGAATAACGGGCTGGTCTGCCAACATTCTAATCCAGTAATTTCGATTACGAACAGCGTGATGCGATAAAAGTATTTCCGTCTTACGACAAAACCGACATCAAACAGAACTATAAAGTCGTTCGAATATGGAGAGAGAAACGTAGCATTCAACCTCTTAAACAAAAGAGGATTGTTTTATAAAATATTAATATTTAAAGAAATTTTTGTTATTTGCGTTGAAGCAAAAAATTTTTCAAATATACTATAATTATGTTATAAAAAAATACTGTCATGGTCATAATAAACAAATTGATCATATTCATATGAAATGCAGTTTTAAATTATTATATATCTGCATAACAAATAGAGCATCGATTTTATTCTCACGAATTTAAGTACCGTTTATGTTTCAAAGGTCGTAAGAGTAATCGCAGATAAATTGTGAGTCTGTTAGTATGTGTCTAAGAACAATTGAATATGTAGTATCTATAATACAATGCAATGATCTATTAAGAAAATACAATAGTTTGAAAGTTCCATTGATAGTATACGATAGTTTACGAACCCTAGACCGTCTGACATATAACGAGTTTTTCTACTTGCTGGCTGCACTACTGCAAAATCTTTTTCGTTTCTAGACGAGTTAGTATTTATTTATTATACTTCGAAATTGGTAAAATGTTATATATTCTTTCACAAATTTTTAATAAATAAATGTTTTATGAAATCTTGAAAATTGTTATAAAAAATCGTGAAAAAGAATTATTCCAACTTCTAAAGGATTAATATGAATTTTACATAAGTGAAGCACTTTCCGTTTGGGTGGTAAAATTTTAATAAAATAATATGGAATTCCAGGTAATCCCAATATGCTTCCTGCTGGTAGCAGAGGCGAAACGAGTGGAGATCCGACCTCGCATAGCAGAGCCGCAAGTGTATTACGAAGAAGATAGCCAAGCGGACGAAGACGATTACAATCCAGCTGTCTACCAGCCACGAACTCGTGCCCTTCCTTCGCCACGTTCGAAGGACGCTTTGCACTCATCCAAGCCACCACCAGTCCAGACTATCCGCAATTACAACAAGGTCAACGACGATGGATCTTTCACTTTCGGCTACGAGGCAGCGGACGGTTCGTTCAAGGAGGAGACTCGCGGAACCGATTGCGTGGTGCGCGGTAAATACGGTTACATAGACCCCGATGGCAACAAAAGGGAATTCACTTACGTATCCGGAAATCCGTGCGATCCAAACGCGCCGAAAGACGACGAGGATGACGTTGAGAAACAAGAAGAAGACGATTTGAACGGACCGGCCAACTATCCTTCCGTAAGACCTGTGCCGCGACCCGTCCCAGTTAGACCGACCTACCAGCAATCCACCACAAGAGCGCCCACGACCATTTTCCAAACGCAATATCGATTAGACGACGACGCCAGCCAGGAGTTGGGCGAAGAAGATCTCGTTAAACCGACGCAATTAAGACAAGGATCGTACAGAACGCCTCAACAGCCAACCTACGTTCAAGTGACGCCGTCGTCGGCTCTCTACGAGCCGTCGCCCACAGCCAGCCCTGGTCTCTACAGGCTAGCATCGTCGACGACTCAATATCAAAGCACAGCGTCTCCTGTCCTTCGTACCCAACCGACCACGGCGTATCAGACCCTCGAAACGACCACTCGTCGTCCAGTCACGCGTCACCCGAAGCCGCAATCGGTCGCAATCACCCCCAGACCCCACGTTGCACAAGTAGCCGCCCAGTACGTGTCCCCCAGTAGCACCGAGCGTACTGCGTTAGCCTACAATCGTCCCTCGGCGGTCACGGTATCGCCGAATCTACGCAGCACCACCGTATCGAGCGCATCTCACCTTGACTTTGCCGCCGAGCTCGAACGTTACGTGAACACGGTCGGCGTAGCCAGTCCCAAGCCCGGCCAAGCGTCGGCTGCACCATCGAAAGTCAGATTATCCGGCCAAACGCCCATCACCGCCTCCGCCGCCGACCCGATCTACCAGTCGGAGCTGGTTTACGATCCCTCAACCGGTCAGTACAATACCCAACTATATCAGACACTACCCCAAACCGTGGGTGACTTCACCCTAAGTCACAAACTGCAACCGTTCGTAGCCCAGCAACAGTCCTACCTTGGACTGCAACAGCTCCAGCAGCTTCAGCCCCAGCAGCCCCAGCGTCAGACCCCGCTTTATAAGCAACCAGCGTCCCAGCCGGCCCAATCCTCCCCAGGTGTAGCAGTCAACCAGCCTCAGGAAGTGCTGTACAGGAAACAGCAGTCGCAGCTGTTGCAACAGTCCCAACAGTTGTACGCTCAACAACAGAGACGTCAACAACAACAGCAGCAACAACAACAGCCGGTACAGTCGCACAGGCTTCAACTGCTCGAGTCGCAGACGCAACCACAGTCATTCTACTACGTTGCACCGGCAAGGTCCTCGAACGCTGCCAGTGCACCTCTTTCAGTAGGTCAGATCGATCAATATCTCCGAGCCAGTGCTGCTCATTATTGATTCGATCTAGCGTGTGAGTCTTTTTTCTTGATATATGAAATTTATACAGGGAATTTCTCTTTTTAATCTGTTCGTATTTCGTCGGCGACATTTTAAATAAGAAACGGTGCTGCGTATGGGCCTTGCGCGTGGCTATTAAGCATGCACCGTGTGAATATCAAGGAGCAATTAAAATTTCATTTTCTTTTTATTTATATTGCAGTCATTACTCACAGGCAGTGTTATTAATTTTGGTATGAGATTGAAAATTTCTTGATACTATTGCACTGTGTTAATACATAATTAATGTTCAAAATGATTGACATTTTTTAATTGAAATGAAATTTAGCTACTTTTTGATTTTTGTTTTCATGATGTATGCTCCTTGAACGAAATAATCTTAGTGTTCAGTGCACTAAACATCGGCACCAGAATTCCAGTCGCGTTGCAAACATCAATTATTTACATAAGCTTCGCGTAAACATAACAACGTTGACAATATCGGACCAAAGCAAACAGCTCTTGAAACGTTGACATTATACCAACACTGGTACTGTGATAGCATTAACTTCTAAAATTGCATTCTGAAACTGTATGCTGTTTCAAAATGCAATATTAATTCTGAAGACCTGACGCATATTACCAATAACCGATATGCAGAACTGAATATGATATAAAACTATTAAATTAAATTAATATTGAAAAGTGGAAAATCAGAAATATTTTCTAAGAATATAAAAATATCATGAATATGCAGAGTTTCCATTACTCGCGTATAAATAATGATACGAGGTATTTCGTAATAACAAAATTTTGAAAATATATATTTTTTAAATTGCCTTAAAAACGATGGAAAGTTTTGTATATCTCTAATAAATAATTTATTTAATTCTTCTTGCAAACGTAATTTATGAAATGATTTCATAAACAATTTGCAGTCGTTGAAAATTCAATTTCCAATGAAATATCAGTTTTTAAATAAGCTTCTGAAATACTTTTCTATCGTGCATGTTGAGATCAACTGTCGTTAGAGAGTGAAAGTCAATGACCTAACGCAATACTGACACACACGAGACACATTACCATAGCAATTTCTCGTCGTGTACAGTAACATGCTACACCGCACAGATTCCACGCCATGACTAGAATATTCATCGTGTACACACGAAAACATTTCAAACACGATCCCGACCTACGCACTGACCGATTTCATTACAAAACAACGAACCGTAGGATTGAAACGTTCGCTATCATAATAACGGTTCTACGTTTAATCAGAGAACGAGATAAGTGTTTCCCACAGAAATGATTCATAGGAAATACGTAACAAACTGACGAGGCATTTGCTGCAGAAATGAATTGACCCTCGACTCGAGCACGTTACCACTTTTTACTTATAAAATGAAAGGAAACTATTTATTATGACGGATGCAGATGTTTCTTCTTTCTGCGAATTGCAAAAAGCTTTGCAAAAAGAAAATGTGGCAATCAGAGAAGAACCTGGTGAAATATTGAACAACAAATCCACTTAGAATTTTATTTAATACTTTTCTGATAATTCAAAGCTATAGTTTTCTTAATTGTAATAAAAATTCCAATTTATTTCATTTTAACAATTGAACTTTATATCGTAAACTTTGAATAAATTTCATTAGCCAACGCTTACGTATCAATTTCTATTACTTTTTTGCAGGACAAAATTAATTTTAAATTGAAGATTATTTATTTACAAATCTGCCCTTAGTATTTTTCAGCAGTAGTATAGGTAGAGTCAGAAGCGTAAACGAGGTTCCAATTATAAAATACCACAATTCCGAAACGAGGGCACTTATCAGAAGGAAAATTAACGTCGTTTTGCAACGTCTAGCGTGAATTTTGCAAGCGTCCCTCCGGTAAGGTTAAATCCGGAACCGTGTAAGGAGAATTGTAGCATACTTTCATTGGCGTGGTCTAACTTGCAGGGACATTCTACTCGGGCACCGAGGAACTTTCTATTTTGCATTCCCCTTCGTCGCAAGTGTGAGAATCGATTCGAATCTAATGCGTCCTACGATTCGATTCCGTGGAAAGCTGTGCACACCTAGATCTATCTATGTAAGCCCGTGTGGAAACACGCGGGGCGATCGTTGATCGAAAGGCGTGTACCCTCTCTCGATCACGTGAAAAGATTTCACACGCAGCCAAAGGTTCAATTCTGTCGGCACTTTTACGAATGCTTTCTCCGATACGAGACTACAAACAGGTCGGTTATTGTCAAGTTCGTTATATTTATCGTGTCTATTTAATTAGTTGTTAAGCGTTGACCGAACGACGGGCATAAAATACGAGACAGGATGAAAAGGTTAGTTGCATTAAGAACGGAAGCTACCGAGTATCCGAAGATACCTATTTTATTTATTTGAAGATGGAATATAAAAGATATTTTGCTATGTTTTTTCAAAAGACTTATCACTGATTACTTAATTAAAAATGAATTTATATAAAATTTCATAAAACAAGTCATTGCAAAAATTTTCAATCTTTTACCACTGATAACAGATAACATTAAAAATCGGTGTTATCATCAAATTTCTAAAAATTCTAAATGAATGCAACTAATTTTGGAATTCTGCTAGGTACTACTCGTGAGAATAATCTGGGTAAAGGAGGTGTTAACAGGAACAGGGACATAATTGCAAATTCTTGTTTGAAGATTTATAATTACTTCGCTTCATAAATTCCTTATTCTTTTTTATCTGATTTTATGAATGGTTAGGTTCAATTTAAGAAACAAATTCATTTATTCATTTTTGTTACATTTCAAACATAAAACATAGAAACGTAGAACATAAATTTCTTCTTTTTATCAAATTAATTTTTTTTAAATCTACAATGAAAGGAAGATGAATAATTGAAATTTCCTAAATTCAACCTACCCTTCATAGGACTGTATAAAAAAGAATAAAGATTCTGTGAAATGGATATAATAGGTAGCAGAGTTAAAAGAATAACGTGACGGTGTTATTTTATAGCTTTTTTCTCGTCGATGGTACCGCGAAAGAGTGTCGATATGCACTTTATGTCTATTCACGTTGTAAATACTTTCTTCGTTAGCATTAATGTACTTAGCGTCTATCTAGCGATTTGTTACGATCAGTACATACGGTAAGGAATACGTCTCTTTACGTTTATAGTTGTTTTTATATTATTTCTAAACGTGATCGAAAGAAAGAAAAAGATATGTATTGTACGAGAACCGGTGTGTCCTTTATTTCACCTGATACCTCGTAATGAACGATTCTCGAGATCCTGAGATTCGAAGAAAGGAAAGTAAAAGCGTGTAGGAGAGTCGTAAGTATGACAGGTATTCGATGTACAACTACTTCCGCGATTTTTTACAGGTACACCAGTAACTGAACGACTTTCCTCGCGTCTCGTAACTCCATTTCAGGTGAGTTAATTGACGATTTGAATTTTCAAACGTAAGAACTGTTTACGTTTCCTCTTTCCGATGATTACATGAAAGCGTGCAATGCGAGCAAATTACTGACTGATGATATCGTAGAGTTTTATTTATTTAAATTTCTGGATTTGGTCTAAATTGGGCGGACGATTGGTCGATTTGAAATTTGCACTTCCTCTTTTTAGTCATTACTTATATCAAATTATTGTGAGTGATAGCTGTTACAGAACTCCATTTATTTGAATTTGTAGAGTTAGATCTGAATTGGCTAAATAATTTGAATTTTAGAAAGTGAGCATTTACACTTCCTTTTTCTAAAGATTATTCACATCAAATTGTATAAATTACTATGAATAATTGCAAAATTTAATATTAAAGAATTTCATTTATTTAAATTTGTAAGGGTAGGTCTGTCCTTAATTTAAATAATTTTGCATTCTACTATTTATATGATCTTTGATGATAAGATTTCAGCAGCAGGTTTAATTAACATTCTCAGTCACGTCGCATTTCATATCTCATTAAAAAAAGAAAAGTAAAAATTTCTTCTGAACGAGGTGAAAGAGAAATGATACCCTTTCAAAATTGTGTTCTGAAATCAAGAAGTGGAGTGAAGTTACTCGACCATTTAGCATTCGTACTCGGAAGAGTGTAATTACCACGAACGATCATTAACGAGCTTATTTCTGACAGCAGGTCATTTTCTGGTTTACAGTGGTTAAGCGTACGCGAAAGATGCTTCCGTGAAAATAAACGAGAAAAATAAGGAAAACGGCGGTGTTTCACGTGTAAATATTATTACATCACTAAAGATGTGGTTATCTAATTGATACGTTTTCACTAATCTCATAAATATTACATGGAATTCATGTTCGCTATGGAAATGTTAGAAAGAACAATAGAAAGGAATAATAAGTGTTGGTACTTTGGAGTGATACAAATTCGAAATAGGAAGACAAAGATAAACGCGATGAATCAAATAATGATCAGGAAACAGTATTGCAGTGGATATATTTAACTACAAACAAAGTCGTCTTTGCGGTAAAAGTAGAGTACGACTACATCGGTGAAAGTGATTGAAAACGAAAGGATCTGGTTAAAGTATTAAATCAATCGTGGTTAGTTGATATATACCCACTTGTTACCAATAATATTGTTTTTCCTGTTTTATTCTGATATAATTGTGAAAGGGAATCGAATGATTTATATGAGAAAGATTTCAATATTTTATCAATAATAAAGATTTTTCTCAAAGCTACCATAAATGTGCTGTAAATTATTTTCTACATTTATTGCATTGAAGTTATTGCATTAATAAACGTTTAATAAACATTTACACATCCCTAAATTGTTATATTGATTCTAATAAAACTAATAATTTTATAGTATGGATATAGATATATAAATATAACAATTTTCCTTCCCTTTAATTTCATTAATTATTCTATCATTCAAGGACCCCTATGGTAGTCAATATATCAATTACCAAAATTTCGTAAGTCTGACTACACCTATCTTTTTCTACTGGGACATAAAGACGAAAGTTGCTCTTCAGCTTTCTAGTGCACTATTTTACCGATGGACGATTAACGAGCCAAATAAAATGTTTCATCGTTTTAACAGAAGGAGGTGCAATAATAAATCATGCACTTTTATATTTCAGTATAGAAAAAAATATATGTAGAATGGAATCCGTCCATGTTACATATTTATTTTATCACTACCCTTCTAGATACTTCTTGTAAAGAAAGTTTTACCTTTCCTTTTAATACAAAAAAACATCTCTTGCTAGTAGTCGGTAAGGTTAATTTTCGAATAAGTTTCTCAAATTTGATTTAAAAAGATGTACTTACTTTCTATATTAGCTTTTATGTTCAAAAACTCACCAAAACCGCATCGCAGCCATCTTATTCAGGGATATAATTGTAGTTGAGGGAACAACTCCATGCACAAGACACACTTTGCAGTCTGGCAAGCAAAAGGTAAAAAATTATTATAATTTATCTAGAATGTTTTAATAAGTTTCTATAATACTTTTAATGAAACAGGAATATCTTTATTGAAGATATTAGAACATAGGTATTAACGTGTACTGGGAATTTCCGAACCTAACCTGGTTATATGTTTTTAAGGTAGAAAGCGTTCCAAAGCTATTCAATATATAAAAATTGATGTATAAATAAAAAGTTTACATACCACTATATAAAACTGATGTAATTGTTGCACAATTCTTCACACTTTTCACTTATTTTAAACATTTAATACAAAAAACGCGTACAGTGCGTCTTCCGGCCAGCGAGTTCGAACATTATTGAAACGCGGTCGATAATCGAGATATATCGAAACAGTTCGAGTAACGCGGGAGTTAAATACGAAAGCGGTATATTCAAATTTTAAATTAATTAATCGTGAAATAAGCATTTTTAAATATCCATATTAATTACTGCTGACATATAATTTATTGAATAATAATTTTGAGTACTATATGACTTGAGTATAACTTTGAATAATACTATTTATTTCTTTGTTCGTACTTTTAACAGTCATCATTACAGAAGGTAATAAATATTTGGAAATAATTGCATCGTATTAACACATCATACAAAGGAGAATAAACTTGCTGACTTACAGCAGCGTATGCAATATCCTTCATTTAATTTAAGTGCCATAAAGAAACGATATCTATTTCCTTCTCGATTCTCAGTACTGGTTGTAAAGCACCTTTTGACATAATTCAATGTTGCTATAACGCTATTCGTCTAACGTTTCCGTCAGTCATATATCCGACGAGTCATTAGCGATGCTTGTGAAAGAGTTAGCATGCATAGACGACAGCTGCAACGCTATCTGCTAAAGTAATCTACTGTGATTTACGGTAACAATCAGGAGGCTTCACTTTCATTCGCGTGCCAACCTTCTATATGCATCGCTATACATATATTTATAACAATACACATTTTGCTAATATTCGAGGATCCTTTAAATAATATCCATGGGATGCAATGTTCTTCGAATGATAGTATAGTTAAGAGTATGTCACTGATGAGTCATTAACTGCTCGATATTTCATTGGAAATGATAAAATATGTATCTAGGGTGAGAAGCACTGTAATCAAGTTATTTTTCTTCCACGCGGTTATATTTATAGTCCACTTAAAATTCCAAATAAAATGTTGCATAAAACGTAACATTGATCCTAAACAGGTAAAACCTTAATACGTAATTAATTTTCGTTTCGTAACATTCCTGTCCTAGATCATTATTCTCGGCACCTAGGGTGCACTAGAAAGCCATGGAATTCAGAGTACGTTTTCAATATTGCGGAACGCCGAAAACAGAACGCAATTGTTCGGTTCTCAAAGGAAGAATGTCAGTTGTTTCACAGGTAATGATGTAGGCGTGCCAACTGAACATACTCGTGGTAATGTGCGGTCTGCGGTTGCGTTACAATTAACACCGAGCTCGCTAACTTCTTCCGGAAAGTTGGATTACACGTCCTTAAGTATACACATCTCGGTTAGGCTTCCTTCAGCCCCGACATTCAAAGTATACGCTCCGTAATTATCCTGATCAATTAGGTTTCGTAATAACCATTGCGCTTTTACCTGAAAGCAGCTTCCAGTCGAGCTATGATGAATAATGTACAAAGTGACTACTGATAATTACATTCAGTGAAGTTATTTGCGTAATGCAAAAATACGTTTCCATGATTACCATATAAATGATTGTTTTTAAACTAGCACTTATTGTTAGACGACTTTGAACTATCCACCTTTCTTTTATGTTGCTAAATTTATGACTTTCAATATTGACAACGATGCGAAATTAAATGCTTTTTAAAATTTTTCTGATTCATATAAATGTGTAGCTTTTGATATAAATAAATATATTTTAAAATAATAATGTCTTCAGGATACCTTAAAAAAAAAATATTGTAATAGTGTTATTAATCAAGATAAATAAAATTAAGATACATTATTTCAAGAAATATTTGAGAAACTTAGAAAAAGCAGAAAACATTATTTTCTTAATTTAATAAATATTTTTAATTAAAAAGGTCTTAACACAATCACCGAATAAATATCACATCATAGAATTAATTTTCTCACAATTAAGTCGAAAATATAAAATGCAAGGACAATCGGCTATTAGTACTTCTGCAAAGTATGTAAAAACAGATTACGCAGTGCCTGCTGAAAACGTAATTAAGCAACGCGTTTGTCTCAAAATCCCGAATAACAATGACACGGAACTGGCAGAGGGAAATACAACGACAGTTCGCAACAATAAGGGCCTAACTAGGAGATATACAACCGATAGGTCCATGACGAGGCGTATCAAGGTGGCATCAAAAAAAAAAAAAAAAGAAAAAGAAAAAAGATCTATGTACGAAACGCCGAGGAAATTGCATGATGTAATAATTGTCCTGTGGGAGTGTCTAGAATAGAACTCGAATGCCACAATACGAGTGTTGCACACTATGGGAACTATTGTTACAGATTTTACAGTCTACTACTACTGTTCTTGCTTGGCCGCGAACTCCCACGTGGCTTTCACTTGTGTCCTCGCGAAACCAAAGGTTCCTCAGGTTCTGTCCCGTCGTCGCTGTTTCCTCTTCATCTCTGCGCCACTTCCGCCCTTTCTCGACCGCAACACTTTCATCTCGATGGACACGAACCAACGCGTTTCTCGTACTGTTTCTTTTTCTGTGGATAATTAATATTTGTGAAAAAAATTCGAGACTTCCGTTTGAAGAAAATAGTTCACTCTTGATTCGTATTTAAAACGTTTCA